GCTGGGGGCTCTGTATATACATCCCACTAGAATTTTATTTTCATTCGTGTGGATGCTTATCCACTTAGATTCTGGGAGTTTGTCGATAGTTAGGTTTGTAAAAGTATTGGGGTCAGTAGATTTAGAAGCATATATTAGACACCCGCCTCCTCTTTTGTCCACTGTATCATTCCTGTGGATGTCATAGTTATCAATTATCAGCTTTGTGTCAGGTATATCATTAGTTAGCCAAGTTTCAGTTACCAGGATCAGTGTTGGCCGTCTCATGTATACCAAGCTGCGAAGGAAAGTTATTTTGTTAAGGAGAGATCGAGCATTTAAGAGCATGATTTTTAGAAAACCAGTTTTGTTGGGAGGGTAATTAGTGGGTTTTCTTGTTACTATCCCTAACTCCTGGTTGCCTTTGATATATTGGGAGGGATTCTCAGATGAGACATTGTCAGTGTGTCTACTATTCCCTGAACAAATTGTGCTGCAAGAGGGGCTATTGTTTGCTGCAACCGAAAATAATCCTGTTGCATATATTGGTTTCTGGCCTCATTACGTGGGTATCTGGAATCATTCCTTGACATTAGATAATCTGTTTCACTATTCAGATTGTTATTTACAGGGCCGAAATAACCTGTTTCTAGGTTGTTTTGAGGGTAGTGCGTGCCAAGTCTTTCGCAGTTGTACATTTGTGGACTCATTTCGTGCATGTACATAGAAGGACCATGATTTAATCTATACCCGTTATGCTGATGGGGATTTACGTAGCTACTACGAGGGTTCGAGTATGCATTTCCATCCATATGGTACCTAGTGGTGTCCCGTCTAGTAGCCCATGTGTTTTGATTATTTATTCTGGGTCCCGTTCTCAGGTTATATGAGCCCATAGGCATATTACAACCTCGGCTATTACGGAAATCGTGGGTCTGACCCTGTTGTTTAATCAGCTCAGCTCCTCTTGCGTGTCTGCTAGAGTGTGATTTTGTGTGGATAGAGCTATTTTTGCTGTTAGTTTTGACCTCGTATAGTCTGTCATCCACAGTTTGTCTACCACCCTTAGTTCGACGAAGAGCACTTCCACCCTCGTGTTCCGTCTCCTTTATGGGACCTGCCGTAATGCGTGCATAGCTCTTTTTTAGGCTTACATGCTGCTTGTTGGGCTTGTCACAAGGGAGATATGTGGACGCCTGTGGAGAGACCCTGGTTTTAGGGGACTTCTTTTCAGCTTTTACAGGGAGATTACCTTGCTTGGCCCTGGGTGCAGTGTTATCTGCCGATATTAGTAGGTTATCTGTCACAGAAGCATCTATGTCTACCTCATGTGCGGGGTCGGTAGCTTTCCTAGGAGTGTTCTCAAGAACTTTGAGACTCATTCCAGTGTTACTGCCCTTTTTGGGTTTCCCTTCACCTTCGCGTGTCGCTTGTTCACCTAGCACAATGCAAGTGTCACTTTGTGCTTCAGTGTCCTTCGATACTACGGCCCTGATGCTATTCATGATTTGTGGTATAATCGTCTTCGTATCTAAAATACTTTTAGCTACCTGTCGTTGGTTGGGGGTTTTGTCCGAGACTATCTTAACATTTTTGAATTTCGTGGTGGAGGCCAAAGTATCCCCAGATTTCCTAAATTGTTCTGCTATTATACAGCTGTCAAACCTGAAAAGTATGGGACATGTGCGGTTTAACTCTTTTTTATTTAGTCTGACACACTGACAGGGTGTACTAAAGAGGTTTGCAGCCCTTAACAAGGAGTGCTGAACCGACTTTTGGGCTCATTGTCAGGTATGTAGTACACTATGACGTTCTGTTTAGAAGCAAGTCTCTTAACAACTTCGCTCGATAGATAGTCCATAGCGTTCTCTAGCTCCTTAACATGTTCCATTTCAGCATCGGTTGGCTTAGTCTTCAATTTAAACAGTTTTAGGAAAGTGAGATCTCCCAGTTCTTTTTTAAGATGGAAGACTGTTTCTGGTACCGGGTCAAGTAGATTTAGTTTCGTCCTAAGGTCATTTATTTGTAGCTGCATGTCTTTTATGATAGAGACTAAGTTAGTAATCTCTGCCTTTGCTGACAGGATATCTTCCACCTGTATTACAGGGGTTAGCATTATGTTGGAAGTATTTGTATTGGGTGAACTACTAATTATAGCTGATTTTAGGGGTGATAATACATTACTAGATAAGCTTAAGCTATTTTCTAGATTACTAGAGTTCCTAAGAATACGCTTATTAGAGTTTTTGCCCATTATTATTTGTGATAATATAGCAGAACTGAAAAATGAATATCAGCGAAAACACGTGCAAAAGTGTCACCAAATTCGAACGTACCGTGAGTAGGTAGCCGACCAGTCTTAGACAAAGACAATGAGTAGTTCGGAAGGTTCCTAAGTCTCTTGTTGAGTAGACTGCTGTGTATCGAAATTGCATTTTCGTTGCCTCTAGGGTCTGATCAAGATCACGTTGACCATTTGTGATCATTTTCCTTACTTAGATCTGTAAAGACTATGTCGACAGGTTTCTTATTATCCATAAACTTTAGTTAGCTATGTCCTGCCTTAATGGCAGATGATAACAGTAGTAATGGACTTTTTATTGCGGAAAAGCGAATCATATCTACACTATTTAATATTGGCTTGGTCAGAAGACAATAAACTGTTACAGCTGGTTGGTGATTGGTACAAGGTTAAAAAGAGGGCAGAGAAGTTGTCAAATGAGGTCATTTCCAGACCACAACGTAAACGAAACCCAGATTTGAGGAGTGAACACTTTTACCCCTGTGGCCATTGATTTGAAATGTTGATTTCAGTTTTTGGTCCGTTTTTATCAATCTGCATCTATGTAGCGCACGACACACTGACATCGAAAGAGTAGTCAGACGGGCTGAGTTTCCCAAAAACTATGTTTTGCGTTGAATAATGAGTCAGTTTTATCCACGGAAGCCACTGTAGTTTCCTGAATTACTCATCAATATATCTTAATCAGAGAGCTGGTAAGACTAATGGACTTATATTTTGAGTAATATTTGGCGGGTGCATAGAGTTCAATAGTAATTCTCAGTCTTTATGAGACAACTTGATGAAAATTGTAAACACACTGCCTATTTGAAATATCATCTCCTTTAGAAACCATGCATAGAATTAATCAAGTGAAAATGACTTATTTTGAATCATTTTGACTGCATAAGTTTAGTTTGTTTAAGGCTTCAAGTACTTCTTCCAACCAAATACGTACGTTTTCTGGAAGCTCGGTAGGAAAAGATGCTGCGCGCGGTGCCCACTCTTAGTACAGACACTGACAAATTAACTTTCCTCTTCTTTTGCTCAATATCTCTGTCCCTCGACTAGCTAAGTTAGGTCAGGTTCAGTGATGAGATTGGGGACTTGCATGACTGATGCCGTTTCTACAGTTTATGTAGCAGGACAAATTTCTTGGAGGCCTGCCTAAATATAATAGGAATACCTATTTTTATTGATGAAGGAAGATATATGTACCTATTGAGCATTCTGTTCCGTGCTATAATCTCCTCATAAGACTTGAGGTATAATCGCCTAGTAGATGCAGGCTGTTTGCTTTGGTCTAAGTTGCACCAACACATCTGAAAATTAGCTAATTGTGATTGCCATTTTCATCATCATCATATCAACTTGATATGATTATGAGCAATAAATTGTGCTCGAAACGTCATCAGTAAATATTACTGTATAACACTGTGAGACTCTATCAAAATAAATTTCACCCATAATGGAAGTATGACGGAAAGGGCTAGTTTTAGATGAACTACCTAAAAATTCGAAACCTTTGTAAGTGTATGATTGATAAAAGTCATATAGGGTACGAAAGACAATTAGTGCTGGACTATGTTCGTTATCCAAAAATAATGTACTTGTATATCAAACGTAGAACTGAAAGTAGCAGTTGTATACCATCACTCATAGACAGTATTGGAGAGGCGGCCAGGTCAGATGAAGCTAAAGCTGAAAAGCTCTGGGAACATTTTTTTATATCTTTTCCTCTGTTCGTATCACCCAAGAGTATAGCGAGGTCCCTGCGATCGCCTAGACTGGTAATCTCCTTGGCGGACACGATGTACACTCCACTTATGGAGATTTTTCAGATATCTCTGACGGGACTAGGCTGTCCAGGGACTGGAAGGTTGCAACTATAAAGCTTATTTTCAAAAACAGGAACAGGCGGTCGGTATCTAACTACCGGCCTCTAAGTTTGACATGCACTATAACAAAGGGACTGGAAATAATAATATGGCGTCACCTATTGGCTCATATGGAGAAACATGGCTAACTGGTTGTGGAAAAGCATGGATTCCGACCAAGATGGTCCTGGCCGAGAAACCTACCGTTAACTAGGGAAGACTGGGGAGAAGTCAGGGATAAAAACCTTCGATTGAACGTTGTTTTTATCCATCTCAGTAAAGCATTCATTAAAGTATTCCATTTAGGTCTCCATAGTATACTGAAATGTTTTAGATTGAACCAATGCTTGTATGAGTGGTTGGGGACTACCTAGTGGGTAGAAGGCAAAGGCTAAGTGTGAATGTTATACTGTCCGTGTAGAAAGCAGTATCTGGTGGAACTGTACTGGGCTCGCTGCTATTCCCATTATAAGTAAGTGAACAATCAGAAGTTCTTACCTCATCATTCTTATCTGCGGACGACATTAAGATCTGGAAACCTGTAAATAATAATAATGGTGGTCCAGTATTACAAAGTTATCTAGAAAAATTGGCCAGATAATCGAAAATTTGGAGTCTGAAAATTAATTCCAAGAAAAGAGCGGTAATACACTTAGGTCACAGGTCATGCATGTCTCAATCCTTGAGGGACACAGAACTGCCAGATGTTAATGGAGAAAAGGAATCCTGCAGCATTCGTTCCGCGTAAGCCAAAGACAAAGGGAAACATCAGACTGATAGTCCAAAATATGAGCTTACGATCCTAATTGTCTGAATCTATCTTGCCAATTAAAGCGGTAATGTCAAACTAAGTCAAGGTCAGGATGACGGTAAGCACATGGTTATTTCGATTGACAGTTAGACTGCACTAGGAATAATTTTAGATGTAGGCTTTCATATGACACCAATCATAGATGAGGCTGTCAAATGTGTAAGATTACTGTTAGAAAAAAAGGTGAGTTATTGTTATCCAAGGCGAGAAATATCTAATTTACTCAGTTTTTTGCGGAGTCTAAAGATCAAGTTGCATTTATTCTTTGTGGTTCCGACGCTACAGACAATGCTCTAGCGGACGATGAGGGAAACTTCCAAAACATCTCGGTGATTTTCAGTCTGAACCCTATAAGCTGGAGTTTGCTGGAGCTTTTGACACCAAATTTATTATCATCGTCAACAGCAGATGGTATACTTCGTTTAAGTTTAATTTTTGCGGACAGTTGTTGACGCTATAATGGTGGCTGCTGATCACTTACATAATCACTGCAAGTAAGCTTGAAATCCTCGTTTAATTACAATGTTTTAGGAATAAAAAGGGTTTGAAAGAGAAACACATACTTCTTGTCAGTAATCTCTGCGGCCCAGTTGATGAATGTGATATATCCAAACTCACTGAAACTCTGCAGCCTACAGGCATCAAATTCAGTCTGATCGGTTGTGATCTGAAGAATGCCAATAATATTACACCACACGATACCCTAAATGAACCTGGACCATCTCATAGACCTTCTCACCAAATTGATCATCCTCGAAAGTCAATCCCATGTCTTCCGTTCTTCTCTGACCTGTGGTGTAGACTTGATGGTGATTCGTATGAACTTATGTGAGTTTATCGGCTTTAAAAAGTCTGTTGCCTGTATCCCATTATAGTAATATTTTCTAGTGGTTGGGTGCCGGTTTTTTACTTTTTGAGGTACTTTTAATTCAAGAACTTGCCTTGAAAGTATCTTCGGTCCTTCAGTGATTTTCTGAGTTGTATGTGTAAACAAATATGAAAGAAATATTGACTTTTCATTGTAACGAACTTAAGATATCACCTGTCAGTCTTTGGTTTTAATGCAAGTCACACCTGCTGATTAATGATAATGATTATGACAAAGGTGTAATGATCACATCTTCAGCTTTTGGCAAATTCTGGAACGCGGATACACTAATTGTCGTCCAACACCTAGCGTAATATAGTCGTTGTGGGTGAAGCCGCTGACAAAATTCTAAGCCTTCTGAATGCATTGTATAGAAATCTTAATATATGTGGTATGCTATTTGCTCCTTTCATATGTAAAATAATGCCACAAGACTGGTATGGTTCAAAGTTAGGCAGTGAATTGATAAAGCGTGTCCTTCTGGGATGACCGCTGACACACAAAAGGTTCGTGTTGCACTTGTCAACTTACATCATCTCTGACGTAGGTGGGTTATCCGGCTATTGGCTAAAGAACGTGTGTACCGTGCATTAGTCCGCTCTGTCGTTGATTTTAGTAGCGAGACATGGCCACTGAAGATTGACGGTATGAAAATAACGCCTTTGACTGTAGATCTTTGTATTCTATATTCTGTGTTAAGTGATGTATCATGGTGAGTAATATTGAGGTCAGGTGTGGAGTCAGGTAAAGAGAGTAAGTGAAACAATGAGGTTGTGAAGCTTCAGCTATTGAAGTCGCTGTGACTCACGTTATGCATACTAGGCCATCACTTTCCCCATCGAATAATGTCAGCTGACTGAGGATTGAGTTAAAAAGCGATTACGAGTGGTCGAAGCGAGACATGACATCAACCCATAATGTCCTTGATTGTCGATATGAGACATTTAGAGAGATATAGACTGCTTGGTGGCTGACCGACTGGTTTCAACACTGAATTCTGCACAGATGTGAAAGAGTTCGAGTTGCCACACTCCATTTACCAAACAAAGCAAGAGAACAGAGTAAGGAGAGATTCAAAGGAGATTATAAACAGAATTGTGAGGCAAAAAGAATAGTAATATGGATTTTAATGCATATGGGAACAATTTTGAGCTATATCACCAATTGTCTCCAGCCGTTGATTTTTACCATCCCGATGACCTCAACCAAGAAGTCTACACCTCCCTACGTGGCTGGCTTAAACTAACTGCAGTGGATTTCATTGACTGAAGCCATGTTTTGACTTGACCACCTCTAGCCAACTCTTTTCCAACCTGATCTTATGTCATCTAACATTGCCCGTCGAGGAAGGCGATGGCTAGGCATACGTAACACATGTTCTAACCATCTCAATCGATGTAACTTCACAGCCTCGTCAGCTGATATCCCCTCCTTACTTAGCGCTCGACACCTGAACTCAATATTACTCACCCTATCATACCACCTAACACAGGAGATAGAACTCAGATACCTATTATGAAAAACAGCTAGCATTTCCATGTCTTCCACTTTCAATGGCTATTGCTCACAGCCAATCATAAAAAGGGACAGCGAACTGCTGAGCAGTACAAACGTCCTGTGATCAATAGCCAGCCGGTTATCACGTCTACGCCAGAGATGGGGTAAGTTGGCGTACTGTCAAACGAGCCCTCTGTATCCGTGCTGATGTTTCGTCAGCGATCAGCCCTGTGACACTGGCTGATGCGAATTTCCAAATAAGTGAAGTGTTCAACACGCCCCACCAAATCACTACCTATCTTTAAGCTAAGAGTCGATTTAGTCCAATCATGTAGTATTATCTTACATTTGTATATAGCGAATCGCATACCAAACATTCGAAAATTGCTGCTCAAGGTGTCCAGAAGACTACTCTATTTTGTCAACGTCTTCATCTAGAAGGACTATATCATCTGCATATTCTAAGCCAACGTGACTATCCCCTTATGGTAACAAGTCAATCCTTGAGTCACTTAGAGTTAAGTCCATTAGTCCATCTATGATGAAACTAAAGAGAAATGGGGATAGTGGGCATCCCCAACAGACACCACTGGTTATCACCACTCCAGATGATAACTCTACGTAAGCTCTCACCTGGCTAACTGAGTTCGAGTAGAGTGCATTGATCAGTGCGATGTGTTGATTGGTAGTGATCTTCGAGGTTTTAATAACCCATGCTTGTAGGCTAACAATGATGTGTCACAGATGATGCAGACGAATCCACCCCTTTTATTTTCCAGACTCCCAAAATCTTATGTGATTATTTTTCTTGTGTATGCATTCGATAGTTTTGCTAAATTCCATTTTTCTTTATTAATTTGTTTATTGTATATATCACAGCGAAAAAGTATAATCTACTGGATAGTAGTCTTGTTGTGTAATATGTCCAATAAACAAATTAATAGGGAATTACATACCACAGTATCCAAGTTTTATACACTAGTTTCGTTTTGTTGGTGTAGTGTGAAGTAGAGTCGTCGGAGTCAGACCACTTACTAATGAGTTTTCCTTGCATCCACGACAGTGATGCAGTCTCTGCTTTAGGTATATTTGAAACTCGTAGCGTTTGTCAGCGTGGTTGGAAAGTGGAATTTCAAATTAGTGATTCAGTTGTGATCCCTGTTGTTGGCTATACGCAAATCAAAGAAGCTCATCCACCCACCATGAAAATTTTGTATGCTCCAGATCCATCTATTCCACTCCACACGGCTACAAAGTACTACAAACAGAATGAAAGTTCATCCGAAGTGGACTCTTCTATGGTAACCCGAGGTAAGGTCTTTTCTTTATTTTCTCATGAAGCCTTCATCATTACTACGAATTTTATGCAAAATAGTTATAATTATAAATACTCTTTGAGAAATCTAAAATCTAATCCATCTGAGACATCCTTTCAAGATCTTGTCGACCTTAACATTTATTTGTTCATGCATAATATATCTGCTTGAAGATTTAAATTTCTATGGATGTATCTCAGTAAGGTACGCTGACGATGTTATTAATAGTAGTTCCATAGATGTTGTAAATGGTCTTTTCGCATTTGTTCATCATCACACTGTCCACACGTATACTGATAACTCCAGACGTTTGGATCCACCGATTAAATTGTCGTTGTGCAGTTTTTCTACAGCAACATCAGTATTTATGTTGGATCCCATTGTCAATTAAGATTACCACCACTTTTTAGGGGTTGTAAACTTTTGCATACTTCCTCAAAACACAATATTGCAAGTCATACACACATTAACACTTTTACTTGAACCCACCTACATTCATATAAATTTCAAAAGTTATAGGTTTAAAAAATGAAAGCAAGTGATCTTTACATCTGATGTTGCGTTTGGATGTTTGGTATCCTATACGTTCAGGTATGGTTCTGTGTTATAAGAGGGCACTACTTTATACCATAAGGTTGGACATGAGAACACAGTATCTGGTTGGCGAACGTGAATATTGAGTTTATTGAAAGCTAAATATTTAATCATGTCCTAGTAAACACTCGTTCTAGATTTGATGCGAAAGATTTGTCGCTCAGATGGATGACATTGGTGTAGCTGTGTTCTTTGAGCTGGTTGGCTTAATGGCGAAGCTTTCCTATTCCTCCTAGACAATATCTTCAATGTTTATTTCAACATATAGTTAGCTTTTAGAATTCTTCAGGAGTTTACTAGCCATTTGTCTTGAGCCTTCGGTATGCGTGGTTATTCCTAAGCAATTCTTCAGGTTCCTTGCGGTAGTCACCTGTCCATTAGCACTGTGGTTCACTTTTTGTCGATTGGTAGTATAACTGTGTTCTTTCTTTTCTTAGTCTTTCAGGGAACTGAGTATTGTGCTTCTTTGTTTGAACTCAGGTACTGTAGTTGGATGTATTTTTTGAATTTCTTCACTCAATCATAATTCTAGGGTGTTGCTGAAATCAGTTTGCGAGGCATCGTTAGTATTGTAGTTCAATGCTTCCTGGAGTTGTTCTTCCATTTTTGTCAGTGGTTGTCTCAACGAATTGACCACTCAATCATTCAGTATTCTTTCAGTTTCATGTTTTGTTATTTTCATTAATTTATCTTAGAGAAGACCCGTCTTTCATTCTTTATGTCGTTTGCTTTACAATACAATCGTAGCTATCACCGTTAAAAGATACTCCTGACTAAGAATCTTTTCTAGTTTTTCTTTTTAGTTGTTGATTGCGTTTTGGTGTTTCTATATCATATAGCACTCTCATTTCTTTTATATTTCTATTTCAATGATGTGTATTACACTGGTGGCTAAGTAAATGATATCTTCTTGTTATAAAAGGTTATCGATATGGTGGAACACTTGTTCCTTTTGGCGAGGAAGATATGGCCGCTTTAAAACCACCTTCGGAAAAAAATTTGAGTGTTATTGGATTTACGGATGCCAAAAATGTAAGCTAATTTTTATGATATTTATCTACTCCCTGATTCTATGGAAACTTGCGTTTGTAGGTGATATCCGCTGTGTCACCTTCTAAAGTTACTTCTGTCTTCATTAAAAACGTGAATATTTATCAATGATGCTTGTGAAAAATAGAGAGATTACTGGTTACCTATCAGTAGCCAGTGAGGCATTAAAGTCTTCTAAATCTTGAAAATTGACAACTCCGTTGTTTCATAAGGGCACTCATTTCCTACAGACGATGATTAGTTATTTTACTGACTCTCTTCAAGATTGATGATTTGATGCTGTGTAGTTTGGTCGACTGGACTGCAGCGATAAAAAGATTAGCCATTGTGATTTTACAAGAAATTCCTTTTTTCAGTAATTTGAGAGATTTGAGCATTTATCTTTCCATAATGAATTGCTAGACAGTAAAGTGATTTCATTGTTTTACGTTAAAGTGGAAGTTAGTTGTTTGGTGCATATCAGTTTGTAAGTATACAGGTTAACTAATTTCGAAACAGAAAGCATGCATATGAACTTAGGGAACTAATTCGAGGTAACTACCTTATGAGGTGAGGTTGCTTTCTCAAAAAAATTAGTTAACAAAACACTGTAAGCATCCGCGCTGAAAACCAACACCTAAATGGAACATGAATCCATCTGCTGGATTCATAGAGGTGGAAACTTCAACCCAGAAGAGCTGAAGGACATTTAGTGTCTCTGAAATGGTAGCTTAGAAATGTAATTAATAGTGTTCTCTGAGCTGGTTGGTTTAGTTGCGGAGCTTTCGTCGTCCTTCTGGAGAACATCTTCAGCGCCATATTTAGCACAAAGTGAAATGATTTAAATTTCTTCATGAGTGATATAATTGCGTCTCCCGTTAACCATCTTTACATATGTATAGACCATTTTCTATTGACTTGGATTTTAAACTTTCTGGTCACCTGATTTACTTTTTATTAGTCACATGAGCTACAAATCTCAATTATTTCAAAAGCTTAGAAATGTGTTAGCAGTAGCGTTCGAATGTAAATACATAGCAATAATTATTCCTGCTTAAATTACATCTAGTCACTGGGAGTCGCGTTTCGATGTGTTAATCTCTAGGTGCAATTTAACTGTCAACAATTTATTATGTTAGATGATTCCAAAACTTAAAAAGCATAAAAATGGTCATAGGTACAAGAAGACATAGAAGTCTTTTAGAGTATTATTGATATAAGTATAAAACTTGGGCACTGTGGTAGAGTGTAACTCCATTATGGATAAGATTTTATTTTGATAAATCACACAGTGTTACACAGTAATATTAACTGATGACTTTTCGAGCACAAATTATTGCCCATCATCATATCAAGTTACTCACTACTCTTTTAGAGTAGTATACTCAGAATAAAATGGACAAATTTGTGCAGCAGTCTCATTGTTTTGCATTCAGCAGTTTTTAAAGTTGGCTCCTAAATAGTCATTTGTTTTTCGTTTGGTGACATGTATTGAACATTAGGCTTTACTTTTCATTATTTAGTCATCGCACTTATATACGACAGTATGGTCTTGTAATTATTCTTACCCATATTCATCTTTCCTTCAGATGAACAGTAATTCATTAACAATTTTTTTTTAAATTATAAGGTCCCTCATTATTTATACACTGGTGAAAGTGTCATGGTTTTTGTGGCTGAAGCGGTTCAACAGGTTGAAGACAGTGAAGTCAGTCCTCCGTCAAGTTCAACAGCGTTGGCTGCATTGGCTCAAGCACTTTATGAAGTTGGTGGTGTGGCTCTTATTCGAAGAGTATATAGTCGAACAAGTGCACCTAGACTAGGAGTTTTAACACCTGTGTAAGTTGTACCAAGGTCTTTTGGTGTATTCATTCTTTTTTCCTCAATTGGTTAGTTTGTTAATTAAGTTTGCTTAGTTAGAATACAACTAATCAGGTTGAAATAGACAAATCATGCTAAAAAAAGAAATTCTGCATATTTATCTTATTCAAAATTAAAGTCTATAAAAATTGTTACTGATAGTTTCATGCAATCGGTCGCCTTAATTCGTTTGAACATAGCAAGAACGAATCATATTTTGTAGGTTAAAAAACGTTCAATGCACTTCACAGTTTTTTTCTTTAGTCTCTAACAGCCTCGAAATGACATGTGCTGTTTTAAATGCAAAAGTATTCCAACTCAAAACGGCATTAAATAATTCTTAGCTTAGTATTGGAACAAGAGGTATGAATACAAGATAAGTAATATAATATTCGAACAGCAAGAGTTTGCTTGCAAATAATATCATGGAGAGTTTGATAGAAGGTGAGAGTGAATAAGTATGGAACGTCAAATCAAAAATGATTGTGTTAACAAACAATTAAGTAAAACAAGAAGCTTAATAATAATTACGGATCAGCAAGTGAAAATCAATAATTAGATTAGGTACACCAGGTTAGGCGTGAGGACAGATACTCACCGAAGACATTGGCTAGTGGTTGCACCATTTTGTGAGTTGGCAGAAGTAAGAATTCATGGGTTGGCCATTGGGTCAGGGCCCAGTGGGTTGATGGTCTAGGAGCTTGCCTTGTAACCAGAAGGTCCTGAGTTCGGACCCCGTTGGGTGCGTACTGATAAAGAGTCCCAAACTAGGACGAGACAGCTGTGCAGTACTCTCAGATTTTCCAATGGTTCTCTAACCGATGTAAGCTCAGGATGAAATCCTGGAACCAATTAGATAAGGATAATGACACAACAAAACCAAATCTGGTTAGCAGGTTCGTATAAGGTTATCTTTCCGTGTACAGTGGTTAGGTTAAAATCACCTAATAGCAATGGCTTCAGTGAAACAAAGTAACCAGAGTTTTCTCTGTATGTTGAATGGCTTGATTATCTTCAACTATAACAATTATTTCAACATTTAATATGAATTTAATAAAATCGAGTTAATTATATTGATAGGAGTGTTATCAAGTAGATGTATACAAGTTTGCATACATATTCTTCAACACGAGTCCTTTGTTTCTCACAGACTGTAACTTTCAATGTTTTATTTTCCTTAATTTTTTCCAGAGTTCAGGATAACAGAGTGTCACTGGTATACACTGATTTAGCGTTTAATGAAGATATTCGTAACTTGGAACTTCCGAGTTTACCAGTTTCTTGTGAATCTTCCAGTTCCACTTCAAAAGATTTTACGAAATCACAAGAAAGTAGAAAGTCACAAAGAGATTGTCCATCTGAAGAGCAGTTGTCTGCTATGGATTCTTTTATTAACTCTATGATGTTAAACTACGCAGATGACAGTGAAGATGATGAGACAGATGATAAGGAGAAGGAAGATTTTAACAATAGTTCGTCGAATATAAGGTGAATTTTCACAGTCTTACTATTCAAAATTAATTAATTTGATTATTCACCTGTTATATAAGTCTGTTTATTTGATACCAGGCACATAGTCTAGTGTTGTGGTACATTTATTATTATTGTTCAAATCATAAACATGTCACATTATGGGCACCCAGAGATGCATCACACAAAATCATTTAGTTTGCGTGAGGGCTGGGATACTGCCCAGATGCCCATACTGAATCAGGTGGTTGCCTTGAGGGACTAATTCCAGATCTTGTGACTTGAAACCTAGTCTACAAGGTAGTGGAGCAGCGTCAGGAGCTGTTCCCGTGGTTTCCGGTGTCCAAAACAAGTTCATATGCCATTTGATCCGTCCGGATTCTGCAGCCCATGTTCGCTATAAGTTAGGAATCAGGGTTTCCCAACTCTTTTAGGTAGGCCAGCATGTCAGCCAGTCCGGTTGTAAGCTCCAGACGTTCGCATTTACATTTTTGCTTCTGTGAGGAACAGCCCCGTCTGGCAGAGGCTATGCACGCGTGGCCACATGAGATCATTTCGACCGGATGATTGAAGTCCATCCACCCTCGGCTTTACCAGATCGTTTATGGCAGCTGAGCTACATCTAGACGCTTAATGTATGTTTGCGAGACTTCAACCTCAAACATTGTCCTTTAAGTTAAGGGTCGTTCTGTATTGATAACAATCTCAAACTGACAAGTGTAATCATTCCAGAGTCTCTGCGATTTCTGTAAGTCCACCGTGCATATTTATTTACCACTTAACTGTTTCAATAGTTTCTAGACTACTTCTTTAAAATTTTTAACTTTTTTTTAACTTGGTCATATTTCATGGATAATCCCCATCCAGGCATTAATGTAAACAAAACCCGTAGTTCAGTGAAGAGTCTCTTTTCGGTGAATTCACTGTACAATCGCAAATATATATGTGTTATTTTGTATGCATGTGTACATTAAGTTTGTCAAACAAAAATACAATTGGTTATGGTTATTTTAACTAAACAGGTGAAGATTGGCAATTGGAGTTACGTAATACAAAATCAGTCAAGAAAATCGGGTGTTAATGAAATTAGGGTAGTAACAGAGGTGATGAGTTGTCACAAACAGTTGTTAAAAAGAAGTTATGTAATAATATGAATAGTTTGATGATTGGGTTCTACCAAGGATACATATAGGAACAAAGTAGAGAATACGAAATTACCTAGTTAACACTGATCATTCCATTTCAACAAACGCCTCCTTCAAAGTAATCTACATAGTCGAGAATAACCTACCAAAGGCAATACGGTTTCTTCTTCTTTGTATCGCTGAAGCTCTGGCCACTCACATAGAAAAACCGGAGCTGTGCATACAAAAAAGAATTACTCAACCACTTCTACTGCCATGGTAACAACTTTATTGATTTTTGATGACTTCATTTTGTTTGTTTACCTGTTTCTTTAATTGCTTATTCTTGTATTCATTTAGAACTTTTACTGAATTTCGTATTCTCTACTTTATTCCTATATGTATCCTGAGTAAAACTCAATCATCGAACTATTCATATTATTACATAATTCCATTCTAACAACTCTTTGTGACAACTTATCACCTTTGATACTACCCCAATTTCATTGACATCCAATTTTCTTGACTGATTTTGTATTACGTAACTCCAATTGCCAGTCTTCACCTGTTTAGTTAAAATAACCATAACCAATTGTAATAATAATAAAAGTCATATTTTTTGCTATTCTGTCTTGAATTATCAAGAGATTATTCTATGACTTAAAGGACTGGGCAAAGTTTGTTAGTTTCACATTACAGTTGAGTGGATGATGTACAGTTTGTGTTTTGAAATGAGTAATGAAAGATTTAACGGGACAATAACCATGATTAGGACAAGTACTATAACAACAGAAGGCAAGAGTCAGGCAACAGATCATTTATTAAGGAAATCAACGCATATTTATATATGTTTTCATGTACATTACTATGGATATGTAAACAAACACACAGTCTTCCGATTGGTTGTTTCTCACGACAAATCTCGGGAACATAAATATTGGCGTAAATTACTGTCTACTAATTTGGCTAGTAGACAGCTCTCACCACAGTACAGCTAGTACAGATTGGGTATAAATAAAATTACAATGGGGATAATTTACAGTTTTTCATAATTCCAATCGTTATACAGGTCAGTAAGATTGAAATATTTCTTAGTTCCAATTCCTCACAACTTTCATGCCCAGAAGAGATTTCTTCTAGTTAATTCATTCGGAATTTTCATTCCTCATGATTATGTCTACTCGTGTATAAGTTTAAGTAGTATCACGGTTTAGTCTTAAAATACAGTTTCATATTTTTCAATTACCAGGCAAAAGTAGTCAAGAGGAAAAGTGATACCGGTAAATGAAAAGACAATCAAGAAGGTGGCTTCATAAACCAAGCCTTCTATTACTTAATATTCCTGTGATCCTATGACATACACTTTGTAGGTGGAGCTACACGTTTTTGATGACTAAATGAGTTAGCTTCCTTTCTTCTCAATCATATTTCAAGATATTCCCTGTAGTTTGGCTTTATATAAAAGAAACAAATTTTAAAAAATGTTAAAACCAATTGAAAAATTTAATGTTAACTTCGCTAAACGGGAAAGAATTCTTCACAAAACCGGTAGTTAATTTGTTCAGACAATAGATTACTACTAGACCGCAAGTTCTAGCATACTATATCTACTCCAGTATAGGCAGCTAGGTAGTATTAAGAATTCTAACATTTCCAGATGTAATTTATAGCTTGATAAGGAAATATGTGTAGAAATGTTTAGTTGTACTACGCATTTAGTACATTTTCTCACATTTCATGAAAGTTGGTTGTTCGCTTTCACAGTTTTCCTTTTATAAAGAGATCCAATCTTGCTGTGTATAGGGCGAAGTTAAACTATCATAGCCAAAGCCTCTTTGACCTTGGACAACCAATCAGAATTCAAATGCAAAAAGTCTCATAAGCATTCAGAAAGTGATAAAGAACATCACAAAATTATATTACGGTGAATAATGATCTCTTATGTGCTGTAGGAATGTCCCACAGACACTCCGAGGATAATCCACTGGGAAATCATACCATACCCGATAGATTTATCCATCCAGGTGACTGTAGATTGTGGTACTCTCCAATCCATTCGCCGTATTCCTGACACTGATCTCCAAACTAACCGGAACTCTAATCCCAACCTTAACGCTAAAAACACTAAACTAACCTGACAGAGCAGATTAGCAGAAAAAGGTACCTAGGGCATACGCAGAATCCTGTACCAACCCTCATTAACTCCATAAGCTCAGGCAGAATTTGATTTAGAATGATCTTTTTAGGCATTCTCTAAATCTGATTGGCTCTTCAAGGTCAATTTTCTACAGACCTTGATAGTTTCACTTCTCTGGATATATAGAATAATGTAAACAAATCTTCTCAACAATGGGCTTATCAAATGTTTAGTTAGAATATACAATTTTCCAAATACGGATATTCTTAATGATATCAAATTTTATACATACTGTTGGTAATGCGTACGTATTGTAACACATACGAAAAGTTTCATCTATATGTTATTTGGATTAAGCCTAATGTGAAGTTGTTGTAGAAAAGTTGTCTCAAATGTACTCTGTTGAATAGGTACTATACTTTTTCGATGAACAATATTATTACGTCAAAATAATCAAAAAGTATAATAAATCAGTGACGTTTATTCTCTAATTTATATAATCCTAATCTATCAGTTTGTTTATATCAAAGCTGAAACTATATGTGTAACCTGAACTAATTACTCATTGTATTGTTTGTCTTTCATCACAGCTTCGCACCACAGCGTATACCGAATCCTTGGATCCAGCGGTTTTTCACTTGCCTTAGGCAACGTGGTCTTAATCCAACAATGCCACTACCAACTTCTACAAACCATTCACAACATTGGTTGTCACCTGAAATGTTTCCTGGTCTGGAAGAAATCATAACAAGAATCAGTTCAGACTCTGGAGACCCATTTGTGAGTGAATCCCGCAGTATGCTTCTCACATCATTTCCATCTCTTCGCTCTGCCAGTGAATCAGTTGATTTGACTGAAGAATACTTGGCTAAACGGAGGCGTCTCATGGAGGAAGAACTTTATGGCACGTCTCCTTCTACAAAGGATGCAGACAACGAACAGCCGTCACCGAATTCAGAATTAACCAATGGCACTTCACAAAATACTACCACTTCAAGTTCCATTCAAATAAATTCAGTTCAAGATTTTGAAGTCCTTCTCTCTAAGGGACAGACGGAACTCGGTAGGTTTTTAACATTCTGATCTTCTCATGTGACTTTTTTATTGAAACCAGTTCCTATGTTCCTTGAGTTTTTACATTAATTTTTTACTGTTTTTTGTCTAATATGGGTATGGAGATATCGACTTACCGACTGGCTCAACAAGCCTACAAGTACGCTTCACTTGCTCACTGTATCATCGTGGAAAAATTGTCTCTAAGGTGTGGAATTACTGTAATATAAACGATGACTTGCGGTTTTATGAATCACATTATTTGATTGTGGTACAGCAAAAATAAACCATTATGAAACTTCATGCTACAACAAATCTCGTTTTCTGCCCTTATTCTTAACTTTTGTTGAGTTTTTAGGATTACTCATGATACTGCTGCCATATAAGTAATGTGAAGATTAAATGTAAGCTCTTCTGTAGGGGAGGTATACCAGTTGATGTGATTGTAAAGTCTAATCTATTGCCCACAGATTGATATCAGTTAGAGAACTACTGAAAACCAGGGACTGGACAGCTGTCTCACCCTAGTTTGGGAATCATCGGCAGTACGCACCCACTGGGGTTCGAACCCGGGACCTTCCGGTTACAAAGCAAACTGGTATGCCATTCAGCCACTGGGACCCGATTCAATGGCCCATGAATTCATCCCCAGTGAGTGCATACTGCCGATGATTCTGAAACTAGGATGAAATAGCTGTACAGAGTACTCCCTGGTTTTCAATGGTTCTGTAACTGATATCAATCTATGGTCAAACTCGTAAAAATTAATCTAATCCTTACAAACCAAATCCTGAAAAACTAATCTACTGAGGTTACGTTAGCACGTTTCTACTAATTTCTGTGTACATTTGTAACTCTGGATGAAGTAGGATAGTACTTGAAAAGAGAAAAATATGTAGTCACACCAATGTATGAGGTCTTTGTTTATTATTATTTGAAGTCATTTAGGCGAGACCAAGTTACCTCATCGATCATCTAAAAAAACCACCGGAATTAGTTTTTGAAGACTGTAGATTATACGGCTCAGAGCAGATCTCAATAGTATAATTATATTCAGACTGTAATATCACATCTCATCTCCTTTCTTCTACATATTTTGATCACATTATTCTCATTGGTTTCCTTCAATGTTACGCGGTGTGGCTATGCGATCCTTTTGTGACAACGACTGTATATATATATATATATATATATATATATATATATATATATACTAAGAGAGAGGAAGAGAGGGAATAAAAAGCTAATTACAAGGACGTTCAAAGCACAAAATGAAATGTGTATGAAAAGTAGGAAGTTAAGCATTTGGAATGACAATAAATGGTGTTTTGTCGCTACCTCGTTTATATTACTGTCAATATCGACATCTGTAATTATGTCCTATATTCTTAGAACTAAGAAAATATTGGTACTTGTGTGTATGAAACTATTCATTTTGTCTAACTTAGCTTGTAGACTCATGGAAGAGCATATCATTCAACTGGTCACTGATCCTTTCACTGCGAATATGTTACGTCCTAAAGCTATAGCCTGTCTATATGCTTATCGAAAACACGCTCAACGGAATAAGAAAATTATAAGTAACAATAATGAGAAAGACAATTCCGTTGATATCATTTCTAGTGAAACAGATGATAACTGCACGAACCATCTAGAAATTGCTCGAGCATACAATAATTTCATTCGTGAATGGCGTCAAGATCTCATTAATCGTAATCTTCTCGGAAGCGATCTTTCATCTTCTTCTGCTCCAGTCGATAACAAGTTATCATTTTGGTTGGAGACGATCACTCAAGGTAAGTTTTATAGAATCTTTAATCTGATAAATCTTGTTTTTACGTGCCTATTTTAAAAAGACGCCAAATCGAAAATAAATTAAATAAACACTCTTCAAAAACATTTGTTTCTTGACACCAGTTTGAAGCAGGCAGCAAAATTTATTAGAGGAGGGCTTATTGAGCACATATATATATACATTATGTAAACCTAGAGAGCATCATCGAAGCACCCCTACTGGACTCGGAAAAGATTAAGCATTCAAAAAGATTAATGTAAATAATAAAGAGTTGAAATGGATGAAAAATTATTGAATTATATAATTTCAACTAGGATGAAAACAATAACTTGGTAACAAAGTAAAGTTGAATGAGTATCGGAGTTTTAATACAAATAAAAATGATTTCTTTCATTCCTTTACGTTCCCATTGGAAGGTAGGGCTTCAAGCTGGACGCTTGAAGTTTCAGTAGCAGTGGAGTTTATCTTTACGGGGTGAAGTTGCTAACCTCATGCTCAACGTTCCCTCTTTACCAGTCTCATTACTGGCTGAGCGAGATTAAAGGAATGTGTCGGCCGGGGATCGAACTCTGGACCACATGCGTGGTTGGCAAGCATTCTACCTATGTACCACCGACGCACATGATTTAGGTAAATGTATTCTTATACTTAACACCTTGAGTACATTCCAACTGATACATTTAAACGTCTATTATGTTGTGGATTGATGTCATATCTTCCCCTGATTGTTTTGTAACCTTTGTGGTGGTGCTCAGCTCGTTTAATGGCATTGTCTAGTCTCTGCCTAACTATTCGAATAGCATCACACTTCTACAGGGATCTCAGTCAGAATAAAACAATTGTCTACTACACATTGATTTCCGGTGGTTATCTGTGCACATATCTCTGCATATTGAAGACAAATAATTGCTGTATTCTGCTTCAGTATCTTATAATATATCACAAGGCGTAGGCTATTCTAGATGTGAGCATACAGTACCAGTTGCAAATAGCCATTTTGTGTGTGTGTGTGTGTGTGTTAGTGTTAACAATCCTGTGTTGTTAAGCTCTAAAACGCAGAAACCACACTTGGTCACCAAGTTTTAGTTCAATTTGATTACTTGCTTATGTGTAAAGGGTTATTATGGAAGCCAATTTTGAATATATAAAGGTAAATAAGATTTGTGCGTTGTGTCTTTTTTCTGTATGTGTGCTTATTTACACAGGTTTCGGCTTATTGTGTGAAGAAGAAGTACCAGGAATCGATGTCAGCCAGTCAGAAAATATGGCATTTTTGAACCTGGATGACGTGGTATCATATCCTCAAGCTGCTGAAATAAAAAGCGCTGCATCCCTGTCTCCTAATCATGTTTTAAGAGTGGATCATTTGGTAATTAATATATTTAAAAAAATTCTTTTAATTGAACTAAAATTATCAGGTATTATAGGTTGTCGTCAATTTGAGTTTGTTTTCGGATCTAATAAGATATCCAAATATACGTGTGTAACAACACAAGACAAGGGCCAGGCATCAGATCGTTTATCAAGGAAAATCAACACATATTTATAGATTTTAATGTACATTATTGTAGATTATAGTTAGTAGAAAATACAGTCTTTTGATTGGTTGTTTCTCACAGACAGTTAACCTTGCATCTCTTTGTGGCTGTGTCAGATCATCATCCATATGCTAACTGTATCCGTCTACGCAAAGCCTTTGTTCTCATTTTCTCACCACCACCAATATTGGGGACATAAACATTGACGTCAATTACTGTCTACCAACTTTGGCTAGCAGCCAGCTCTCACCACACGTGTATATTACACTGTAATTGTGTGCATTATCTTGCAACTGTCAATGGGACACTTACTGTATTAGGTGTAATAGTGATCATTTTGAATTTGTTAAAGTAGCCTCTTATAAAAAGTTTTGATTTTCGTTCTTTTTCTTTCCAGCTTAATGATGACTTCGAGTGAAATCCACTTACCAGACGACAACAGTTTTACTATTTTCTTAACTTAGAATCATATAACACATCAGTTGTACATCTCTTTATTCTGCATATGTGTATATGGTTTAATATACATACATAATTTTGAACAAAAAAATTTGTATTTTACCTGAAGAGTGAGCAATTAGGGGAAAGCAAAAGTATTTATTGTTTCGTAACAACTGTTATTGGTATGTCTCACAGTATCAATATCTGTTCCAATTCATAAAATTGATATTGCAAATATCGACCAGATCTCCTCACGCATGCAAAGAAATCATAACAAAGTATAAAAACAAAGATAATGCTTACAAATTTGTGAACTAGATTATAAGTTACATCTTGTATGGGGTGATGCTTTTTATAATACAAATATTGAGATTAAAATACTTGTAGTTATACTTTTCTGGTTGGGAGACATATACACCTAACGATGGGCTGCACTCCTATAGGTAGGTATATAAGGACAGTAATATTGGAGAATTCTATTGTTTGTATTCGGTAGTGTGACTGCTCGAACTACTGACCAAAAGTTTCTGATTCATCATGTAGCTAGACTAAGTATTATATAGATTAACGGTAAATAACGGAAATAAAAAGCATTTCGGGGGACGGTAAATTTCAGTAACTTTACCTTCAGGAATAAACAATTCTTAAAATGATTTCAATTTCGGCTGATTCCTATCAATTCCCATTAATGTATACAGCACATGTCACACTCGATCCCCGTCAAATAGTTTCGAGCGGTGCCACTCCAACCTGTTTGGTGCTATCCACTCCTCTTCAGTCTTCTCATCGGCTTCCTTATCACACTGCATCCATATGTGGAGTTTACCGGCGTTGAGACGTTTCCCTTTATCACCTCTTATGATGGCATAAACGGGAGTACCTCTCTCAGTGACAGTATACATTCCATCCCACACTGGAAGGTGTTTCTGTGAACTTGGTAAGCATGCAGCAGTGTGCTTTCTTTCTATTCACCTCAATTCATCTCCGACTTCAAATGCTATGCATTTATCCCTGTCTCTCTGTTTGAATTTCGCAGAGTCTATCTTCTCTCCATGCTTAACGTTTCTGACGGCTTCTTTCTATTTCCTTCCCAATCTTGTATTTCACTACATTCTTGGTGAAGAGGTCAGGTCGTGTTGTGTTTTGGTAATCGTGGTTTCCTACCATACATCAACTGGAACAATGACTTCTATGTTGTTTCCTCGGAGGAAGTACGATGTTCTGATAGAATCGATGGAAGCTCCGTCTCCCAATCACCTCCCTTAGATACCAACCACTGCTTCAGTGTGTGGTTGATTCTCTCTGTGAAAACATTCGATTGTGGATGATATCACGTTGTTCTTATCTTCTCGATACTTTCGAAACAAGGATCTTCAAAAACATTCTATGCAGGCATACAGAAGTGGACCTATGACTTGATGACTGATATAGTTTTGAGAACGCGTTATTGCAAATCGAATAGTTTAATAATTCCGCGAATATGTATGTGTGTGGGGGTTGAAGCTAGCCGTTGTCCTGAGAAGGACTTTATATTCAGTATTTTATCTTGAAACTGACTGTTATCGGATGAGTAAGCGTAGAATACACAGATAGTTTGCATGTGTATAGATGGGTTTAAGTGAACTTCATTCATGTGTTTATTATTTGGAGGTGCTGGGTTTAGGTTTTGTGATCGTTTACACAGCTTGACTGAAATTCACAAAACTCACCGTTTCCGTAGATTGTGTATTGAGTAACTGTTGACGAGTTGATTTGACAACAAGATAGATGTCTATGCACCACTGCAGTGATGTGTGAGACCGTGTTACCTAAGCAGCATCCATTCTCATCATACTTATTTCCAAATACATGTGTAAAGCGTCTTCTCTAAAAGCTCGCACACAGGTGCCCTCTTTAACTGCATACAGTTATCTCACTTGATACACTTGAATGAAGAAAGAAGAATGTTTTGTGCAGAATAAACTGAAGTCATTATATTCCGTTGGTTCTTGTTAGTGGTGTACGACCACGCGCATATTGACACCAATATAGGAAATATTTACATCCTTTTATTGTTGGTCATGAAGCTGATGGCTATTGATATCACGTGATTAAGAAGCCTAATGGAAGGCTGTAAACTTCGTTTGATGCTCTTTAGTACGTGTAGGAAATATCCTGGAATTGGGAACGAATATTTTAAAATCAACAATGCACTTATTTCTGAGTCAAATATTCAGTTGAGCATAGATCATGGAGGGATCTGATGACGCATATGTGTAAAGAGTAAACTGGGATAGGAAGGTGTACTGTTGAAACAAAATTTAAGTAAGACAACAAAACTTACGAAGACAATCAAATAATGTGACGTATATTTATGAAGATTAACAACAGTCTCCCTTTGTATGCATGAATATGGATTTCTACCGCAGTACTAGCTCCGACGTCCGATGCGAGCTACTGCGTGTACATGAGTCATCCTTGTTGACCTCATCCATGGAGATCTCTAATCAAGTAGTTCATTTGTGTATAGTGTGTAAACCTACGAGATACAGAACATTACAATAAGACGAACTGTTTGCCTACTGTGTTCACTCTGGATATATTTACTCTGAATACAGGGAACTACTTACAATATTCAAAGTGGTGCGTGATGTATTTGGAATTCGCCACTGACATGTGTCAAGGCATAGCTTGATTCCATTGTATTCTTGTGGGTTATGTCTAATTTATTATTGATGAGAGTGTCTTCACACATCGCCATATCCTGCTGGCTGGCTTCAGTCATTAGTGTGGATCATTTCTACCCATGGAGGGATGACTTCACTGAGTGAGTGTACTGAATCAGGTGGAGAAGTTGTCATCTTATTACCGTATCTGTCTTTGTGAACTGCCTAACTGCTACTAATTTTGAAAAAAATTTATAGATCAGACAGACTCAGCATACTTCGTTACCGTGTCCATAGACGCCCTCCTACTTCTTCTGCACTAGTTGTGGACTGTTTGTAGGTGAATGACGTTGTGAGTCATAACTTTCCTTCCTTCTGAGATGAATCTTGTAGTCATGATCATGGAAAACATCATGATAGTCACTCAGTAGATTTGATCGTGGTTGTCGTCTGACTGACCGGAGTAGATTGTTTACTCTCCAGATAACAGTTTGGAGATTTCACTTCTATTCCATCTGCTGCCAAAGATTTCTATGACTTCTCTGTTATACTCTGTGATTTATTCTTCATACTGAGTATCCTTGCTGGAGGGAAACACAATGTGGACATTCCGTGTCCCTACGCTTACTTTTGCTTTCATCGAAAAAGGTGCATCGGCCGATAGTCTTCCCGATGTCTTTGACCAATTGACATCATCCATCCTGGAAATCAGAAGTCTTCCTGATTCAATCGGAGGATGAATTTATTTTTCCTGTCTTTTGAATCTTCGGCAGATGTCGGCCCGCCGATTAGGTGACTTTTCTTTCTCCTGTGTGCAGAAATTTATTTGATTAAATTGTAGTAATTCATGTATTATTTGGGTGGTCCTGCATGTAAATTTTGTTTTCTGACACTTCTGGATGGAAATCGTGAAAATTAAAGAATTATATATATATATATATAATGACGACAGAAGCCTCCATACATCACTACAACTTTTTGGACCGCAGATACTGTCGGCAAAGCAACACCATTCCCCATGAGAGTTATTTCTTAATTTTAGTAAAGCGTGTCAGTGAACAGCACATATACAGATGGGTTTTAAAGTTATTTTCGAGTGACAGTACGTAAGATTTTGTGTTTAGTGTGGCACTAGCTCCGAGGATAGTTGCACATCACTGCATGTTAATGAGTCATGTTTGTGAAACTCATACACACAGATTCTTTTTTGAATGCACCATTGGTATGTTGTAGGAGGATCCATGAGATGGATGAAAGTGAGACGTGCTTAATTCCCATGTGTTTACATAGGATATACTTGCTCTTAATACAGTTAACTACTTAGGGTAACTAAAGTTGTACGCAAATGATTCTAATTCACCACTAACCTGTGTTATATCTGTAACTTTACTAAGTGATAAACTTGTGGGTAGCGCTTATTTGATTATTTATGAAACTGTGTTCAAGAGAGTAAATTATCTAGACTTACTCCAATTATACCTTTTCAGCTGCACACGTTTATTTGTAGGCTACTTTATCTCATCATTTCGATGTATATGGATGTTTTCGTTACCTTTTTGATGTCATCTAACTTGTTTATAACTGCTGTTAAATTAGCGATACATGTTGAAATTCCATTGATCACAGAGGCTTATCATACTGTGTTTTTGATCATTTTCATGAGTAATGGTCAGATACTTAAAACACAGAATGAAATATTACTAGAATGCATTTCTCTTCTCAACAATATGCAGTGTGTAGATAAAAATCATCCGAAAATATCAAGTTAATAATAATAATAATAATAATTTGCTTTATTCCGAAACAGTACATGTGATACAGAATGGAATTCTCAGCATTTTTACTACAGTATTGCATCCAGTTAGTACATTATCAATAAGTAGAATTCTACATAGATTGAGGAAACCACAGTTCATTATTACAACAATACATTGGCATGCCAGTAGCAAAGGTAAAGCTGAAACAGTGTTTGAAGGTGTTAGAAAAGTGGGAGCTGTCTTATTAACAGGCGTAAGCGAGAGAAAGAAACAAAGCAGCACATAACAGAAAAAAAGAGAGAGAGAGAAAAGGAAAAGAAAGAAAGAAAACGTTGTACCTATAAATGATGTGAGTTGGAAAGACGAGGTCCAGTTGTACTACTGGCCATTTAATGAATTATAGGTGTTACGGCTAATGCTTTCTTTATCGCACAGAACACGAGCTAAGTAGAGTATGGTTGAGTTTTTGTACTTGCTGGTGCGAGCATATAGTTTTCTATATAGGCTTCTGGTTTCGCCTGATGAGATGCAAGGGGAGAGTTGTGAGTGAAGAGGGTGGTGTGAGTTAGATAAAATGGACTTGGCCCATTGTCTTGTGGTGAGAGCTGTCTACTAGCCAATTGGTTGACAGTAATTGGGGTCAAAGGTCAAGACGGACAGGCGGATACAGTTAACATATAGATGAACTGACACAGCCACAAGAGATGCAAGGTTAACTTTTTGTGAGAAACAACCAATCAACAGACTGTATTTTCTACTAACATTAACCTACAATAATGTACATCAAAATCTATAAATGCGTGTTGATTTTCCGTAATAAACGTTCTGTTGCCTGGCCCTTGTCTTTTGTTGTTACAGTCTTACTCCTGAAATCATTGTTGGCCTTTCTGAATAGTCGTACTGACAAACATTAAGTTGTTTATGAGAGCACTCGACCCTAGAGTTTTGAAGTAAAATATTTTCTTAAATATTTCAATTTAACGAAATAATAACATTATACATTGAAAAATTATTAATTTAAAGGAAAGAGTTTCTCACGTAATTCTTAATTCTCGGTAATTAGTATTTGTGAAACCACAAATTTCGAAAAATTGAGGTATGCATTTACAAAGAAAAGTCCTTATATTTTTTCTTAATCCAACCTTGCAAATATACTATCACGTTCAAATGTTGAAACGTTCAACTCTCACTTGTAGATCACTTCGTTGTAATTTCAGTGGAAAGTGAGCAAACCAATTGGTCGATGTTTATGTTTTACATGAAAACAGACTGTCATGTAACTTTCAACACACTTATTTCATACGGCGACACAATGAAAATGTTTCAATTTATTTTGTATTTCGAGTTGAGAATCTCTGACCGAATTCTTCAAAGTCGACAATTCCTAGTTTTAGGACAATGAATTATAGAATATTAGTTGAACAATTTTCAAGAATATGAATTAGGTATTCGTGTCTTACTATTCAGATTGCAGTGTTATCGCATTTGGAGAAATGTAGAACACAAATGACCTCCTGTTATCTGGTAAAATTATTCACTAATCTTTTCAAGGCTATGATGAGTTGTATGTGGTTGTTGGGAGGTATTCGCTGGGACTAGATATGATTACAAAAGGGACAATTGGGATGTTATCACTATGTTTTAGACAAATTTATTGTTACGACTTTTCGTCATTTGAATTTTTTTTAGTTTCAATGAATAAGTCATGTTCGCCTCCAGTTGCATGATTGTAACAACAGAAGACAAGGGCCAGGCAACAGAACGTTTATTACGGAAAATCAACACATATTTATAGATTTTGATGTACATTATTGTAGGTTAATGTTAGTAGAAAATACAGTCTGTTGATTGGTTGTTTCTCACAGAAAGTTAACCTTGCATCTCTTGTGGCTGTGTCAGTTCATCTATATGTTAACTGTATCCACCTGTCCATCATGACCTTTGCCCTCAATTACTGTCAACCAATTTGGCCAGCAACCATCTCTCACCACATGATTATCTTTGTCGGAGATGAAGGTATTTTGACTGTAGTTATCTGAAGAGTGATATTTGTAGATATTTGTGAAAGAATTTGTGTCTGTCGCTGACTTGGTCGATCTGTAGGTGCATACAGTGAACCTGGTTATCTCATGCACCATACTGAGAGGTCGACTGAGAACTACCTACAAACGTTCGCCTGGAGCATTCGCGAGGACGCCATCGGAGATGGTTGTCGAGTAGCTGGTCTTAGAGTTAAACGCTCCGCCAGGCAAACATGATGGGTTTTAGGAATTCTGCATTCTACAGTTTGGTGGCAGTTTCGCTGACAGATTTTTTACTCAGTATGTAATCAACCTTAGATGAAGGTTCAAAAGCTGAGCTGATAGCTTGCCAGTTCACAGGATGTTTCACCACTAGTATCACCCATTAACTACAATTTGAGAAGGCAGCTCGATGTGTGTACATCAACGATCAGGTGGAAATCATAAGACGGTTGGTTGTTGATTGAGTGGAGCTGACAAATCAGTGACCAGCGAATGTCAACAAGCCGTCAAGATGACACGATAGATGAAAGGAATGCAGAAGCAGGCAGATATCAACAATTCAAACAAGCGATATGCAGACTGACAAATGTTTCGTCTCTCGAATAACCAAGTCTTAGCAATATAGTCAATCGAAAGGTAGACAGTAGTTATAAGCAATACAATATTCCTTACTTCTCTCGTACTCTTTCCGGAGTTGTGGAATTGATAGAAATGGAAAATTTGAAAAGAAGAATACGAGTTGACGGATTAGACCTAGTTTGTTTGACTGGCACAGTGGCTGATATTTAACTGATAAGAACAGTGTACGGTCATAAGGGTGGGCAGGTTGGCAGTTCAGGTCGTCGAGGAACATGCATTACGGGTTCCAAGCGTTTCAGACTGTTTGGTGTAGATCGGAACATGCCCAATACGATTTACAGCTGTTGTTACATAGAACACATTGTGAAAAGTACTGAGAGAGGATTTATCGAGGGAAGCAGTCACAGATATTGATGTGAAGAAGAGAAAATTTAACACGAAATATACGGTTTCTGATTGGTGTGAAGAGTGAAGTGGCCGAAGTGGAAACAGCACCGAATGTTTAGAGGGAGGAACGAAATATCACCAAGTTGTTGGCTAAATATGCCAGTTTATGCACATCAGATTGAGAACCCCACGATTATTATGACAAAGTGATAATGAGATCCCACTGAAGAACTAGGAAGAAGTGATGTTCACACTATGATGAGTGCCAATGCATTTTGTGAAGGAAGTGCAGAGACAAGTTGGAGAAGTGTTGAGTGAGGCGATGGTTTAAGAAGCCGACAGTCTGTACAGCTCTCCAGTCCTACTTCTTGAGAAACGCAGAGAGAATTACATATTTTGTTTTCAGCAGTTGGTTTGCAAAGATTAGATTTGTTTTGACGAAATGAGCACGGCTTGATATCAGTTAGAGAACTAGAGTGTGCGTACTGCTGATAATTCCCAAACTAGGATGATACATATTTTGTGTTGATTTTAGAGAGCTGAGCAGCCTGACCCGACCGACACTACGTTCAATAGTGACTTCGACAGATTTACGAGATCATTTGTAGGAAGCTGAGGTGTTCTCTAATTTTTACTGTTAAATATCAGTGACAGATGTAAAACAGCTTTTACTGCTCGTCACAAGCAATATCAATTGAAATGAATGCCGTTGTGATTGACAGTTGTGCCATTCACCTCTAGGAAATTAGTGACTCCACTACCCAAGAATCTGTTGAACGTGGAAGTATACGAAGATGATATAGTTGCGTCTAGTGAAACACCGGGTGATTGTTTTAGAGCCGGTTAGTTGAAAGCTTCAACGACTGAGCAAAACGACTTTGTCGGTTGCTAGGTAATGCAGGACTTACATGAACTGAAAATACACAAGAGGATTGATCTGATTCAGAGACTCACAGATTGTCAGCAGATGATACTGAATCTAGGGATGTCTAGGAAGCAATTCACAGTTTGCACAGACGCACGTGGCTTTGCAATAGGTGACTTTCTAAGAAAAACAGAGACAGTTGCAAAGCATGCTATCCTTGCTTTGACAATGATCGAAGGACAGTATTCTATGGGAGAAGAAGAGTGTTTTGGCGATGAAGGATTAAGGCAAACTTTCTTTCTGCATTTATTCCCCTTGATGAATTTAAATAAAGCAAGAACAACAGTAGTTTGTGCAGATCGTAAAATTTTATTCGGGTCACTTCTCTGGATATTCTGCAACGAATTGTCACCAAACGATTCAGTGATTTGAAACATTCTGCGGGGAGGCGATTTTTGAGAAACTTCATGTATCGTAAAATTTTATTAGAGTCACTGCACAAACCTCTGAAGTAATTGGAAACAATAAAATACCCTGGAGGGAAAATACCACCATGGATGTCATTCCTACAGGAGTGCAACTTCATCACGAGACATACACGTAGAATAAGGCAATGGCTGATTAATTCGCGAGATCCGATAGCAAAGCTGAATTATCAGAGACAGTCTACGAGATAAATTTTCCAGCGCATACTGCATCACAAATTATTCGTCACCAGAAGTCTGAACCTACTCCTAAAGCAGTTATCTAAGTGACAACTGAAAGGAAATAAAAGAAGAATTCGGAAGGAAATATGCAAGTGATAATTCTGCTTCGTTATAAACATACAATGAAACTGAGTGCATTCGGTGTACCGTCGATTACACAAATGTTCGAACTGTCAAAACAAGTTAGTAGCACTTATGTCGGCGAATGCAGAGTTATAGTTAGGTCTGTAGAACTCCTTACAGCAGTTTGACAACCGTCACCATCATCTCCTCAATAATTATCACAGAATGAAGTTAGTTTTCTGTAATTGAGCCTAATACAATACAGAAGTCGCAAGTCAGTCAAGTGAAATGAAGTTAAGGAATAATAATAGTAGTAATAATAATAACAGACATAATTTCTTCACTGACCGAAGACTCAGTGTCTTTGTCAAGCAAATTACTGAATGAAGTTGAAAATCGGAATGTCCGGGTAATTTCGAAGAGTGGAATGCTATTCGTTTACTGATGTTTCATTTTAACCAATCACATCAAGCATATGTTCCCACCAGTGATATATATATATAAACCCCCAACATAGGATATATTTCGTCTGACTTTTCAACCCCTTCTTCCAATGAAGCTTTTACTGGTAAGCTTTATTTACCTGCATATGATGTGATCATTTTGTTGACATTCAACTTAAGTCAATGAAGATTGACTAACCTTTACTTGCATCTTCCTCGTTATCTCTGCCCGTAGGTGCTTTCTGTCATATTCATCGTGTTTTGGCCTAAAATTATTGACGCCACCAGTCGGGAAGAATGTAATCAGTTTAAGAGAGATGCAGAGTATACGTGTTACAAGACAAGTCTAAATCCATACGGTGAGTGTAAGCCAAAATGTTAATTGAACTGCTGCTTTCACTAACTATGGGCAAACTGAAAAGACCATGCAAACATGTAAGAACTAAGCTGTATGCATTCACAAAACTTTGAATATACCTTATCTTTCCAATGACAAAGACACCTGTCAATGTTTCCTCAATCTACTCATCATTGTGACAAGTGTTTACAACACTGTAAACTGTTTCATAGGGTAAACCTCAAAATGATCAATTCACAAGACATGAAACTCACAGAATACAAGACCTACAACTATCAGTTAAGTAGTGGAAACTGACAAAGTGATAGAATTCCGATCATCACGATTCATTTACTTCCACAGTAAAATTCACAAGATGAGATTAGCGAAATGACATATTCACTTTTCACAATGACAGCGAGATTAGTAACGTTCGTGAAGATATTCTGTGTAGAAATGGGAATGAAATTCTCCTCTCCTGAAAGAAGTCTTTTAGCACGTTTGTAGTTTTATGGAAACGTCACTGATGAATTCGCACGCAAATACGATTAAGCAAAACAAAGATATGAATGTAAATTGACACGTCTCATATGCTCCACTGATAAAATCCCATTATACCATGCTCTTATAAACCGAAGAACTGGTAATTGATTTATTGATAGGACGATCAGATAACACTACGAAGTGCTGAGAACTTCACATTGGTGATCAAACTCCATTTTGATATTCATCTCGAGGCGTCGAATACGTGACAGTGTGTGTACAGAAAACCTCCTTTTAACAAATCAGAATAAGGAGGCAGATTTGCAGGAACTCACCACCACTGATTGCCTTGAAGCAAGGAGCTCCTTGCTACTTCCACTCGATTGTCTGTACTGAACAAAATTTCAAAGAAAGCTGGGCAGTGAGTGCATTATAATATAACGAATATTAGCAGTTCTTCGACATCTCAACTGCCTACTCGTGTTGATGTAAATGACTCAGATAAGATCAGTGATTGTTTTGGTTGGCATTACGACCATTATGCATCAAATATCAGTATGGTAGGAAATTAACTTTTGTATGGTTTTCAAATGTCTGTTCGCTGTGTTTTGTCAGTCACTTTGAAAATATCAACTCGGAATCACTGAGTAATTCAGACGACACGTGAATCTTTATCTCTCCTCTTCATCCAGTTTTTGCTGAATTGAAATTCAAGAAGTGAATAAGGAGAGTGTTGATTTTCAAATAGGCAGTGATAGATATATATTGGAGGTTTAGCTTAGAGTCAAATATTACTTATTGCTTAAACTAGTCACATTGAAAATTGAGTTAAATTTTGAGAAATATTTGCAAATTTCAAAACGCCTTTCATCATTAATACGAAGTTCGTTTCACCTTTTTGATTAGTTAACTACAAACATCTAACTGATTTTGATGACGTGTCCAATGCATGCAGAAGAATGAAGAAATGTAAGAAGAGCTCCGGAAAGTGTATTGGAAAGAAACTGAAAGGGTGGTGGATGAATAATTGTTAAACGCTTAAAGTTTGAATAAAGTCAGTGCAACGTATATTCAATCAATATTGTTTTCATTTCCCTTTTCTTGACCTTGTGGGTATTCTATGTCTGATAAGACGAATAAATTTGTCGGTAGACATGCTGTATGTGTTTTCGAAATGTTTAAACAGGTGAAATTATTTGTATGAAATCTTAATTTGTGTAGCCTATCAGAGTACTTTCTATGCAAATTTTACAACAATGGCCTCTATGCTTTAACTGAAGTCAAGTCGAAAAAGATTAGACAGGCTGGCAACATACTGGCCAGTGCTGAAGCACACCTATCTAAACTTTCTCTGTGACAACAACAAACCATGGAATCGTATCACTGTGGACTCATTAAAGTGTGATGCAATGCACAGAATTAAAAAATATTAAGGCTGACATACATAAGTATAAATATTGCATAATCACACGGTGACTTGAAATATTTGAGACACTCTGGATATGACGGTTCTGAATGGCAAACATACTAATTCAATCAGAAAATATTCCTTCTTCAGACTGAGTAAATTTTCAGTTGGACTTTGCAAAGTTAAGCAGTGCAAAATTTCTCTGAGGTTATGAAAATAAATAATAAATGTCAAGTAAAATACATAAGTAATTGAATAGATAAAAGACTGAAGATAATAGTTCAAAATATCTTAGGTTATTCCACACTTCAAATTACCATCAACTGTTTTCCAGATGAAACATAATCGTTAGCTGCACAACAGTCTATACCTTCAGTCTGTAGGTAATGTGGTGTATGAAGAACAAAACACTTCATTTTGCGGTTAATGTGTGGTTTTGTAAGAACTGAGAAATGGTTGACAGTTTTATCAGATAAATTAGTAAGCACAAATAAAATTTGAATAAAGCAAGAGTAACAGTCTTTGCAGAATAAAATGTTGCCATCATTTATTTCGTCGGCTTCTCATCAGCTCCTTACAGGCCAAAGTCATTATTAAGTATATCTACAGAAACAATTTTAATATACTTGTACAGAGTTCATTTTTAAACAAAAAATCAATCAATATATGCATACAAAAGTAATACATATGCATATAATAAACACTTTATTCCGAACAGTAATGATCATACTCAATGGAAACTTTCGGCGTTGCGTAATAAGATGAAAGAGAGGAAGAAGATATCTTGTTACCAGGCCAAGGAGAGACTGATTACCGCTTCTTTCTGAACACCTGATGAGTCGTGTCAAAGAGATGCCTGGCGATGGCACTATTTAAAGCATTTTTTCCCTTTCGACATAGGCTTATTGGTACACGTTTAGAAAATCGTAGATATGCTCTTCTTTCTGTTCTTCCAATGTAATTACTCCCGAAGATACATGTATACACAGTTTGAGTTAACTAAGAAAATTCATTCTCACATAACGATAAGACTAGTTGGATATCAGGATCCAAAGGCATTTGAGAACTGAAATCAGAAGATATGTGGATTACGTAGGGGTGGTGAATACTCCACTTCTTCAGGTACTCGACCTCTATCACAATGAAGCGTCCAAACATATGCATCTTTTGAAAACGAGAATACAACTATTCACCAGTTATGTCTCTTCAGTGAGTATTTTTCGCCACCCCACGTAGGGCATGACACAGCTCGCTAAGTCCTGGGCTGGGAACTCAGTGGGTGCCTAGTGCCGATCAGTGCCAGACTAGTTGTGGTGAGAGCTGTCTACTAGCCAAATTGGTAGACAGTGATTTACGTCAATATTTACGTTCCCAAGATTTGTCGTGAGAAACAACCAATCGGAAGACTGTGTTTGTTTGTTTACATATCCATAGTAATGTACATGAAAACATAAATAAATATGCGTTGATTTCCTTAATAAATGATCTGTTGCCTGACTCTTGCCTTCTGTCGTTACATAGTTACAAACATCCGTCAGTATTGCCTCCTTGGTAGGGCATCTGTGTTGAAAATTTAGATTTTGTTTCTTGTGCTTAATTCTGTGGAATTACACACAAAATTTAGAGAAATGAATGCTTTTTTTGCGTAGCCAATCTGATCCTGTTTCGGTGGGACATCCCTATCGATACCACTGACAGTAGTTAAGAACACAAAGGCCACCCAACAGATGAATAATCTTAGATTGTTCTAGAAGGTTATAATTAATCCTTCCTGCTATTGGCTGGGCAACTTCATCACTTTCCCTGTCATCATGTCCACCTGAAATCCTTTCTTCTCTGCTTCATCTACCATCTAATTGGTTTTTGATTGTTTATCTTCGAGTTCTCGCGATGCGAACATTATTTATCCGAGAAATCCAGGTAATACAGAGTCATTCTCCCAATCTATCCTACGCTTGTCTTCTTACTCCCCACAATCTACCGAATGATTTAGCGCACTATAATTACGGAGATCACCAGTAGTTGTAGGCAGTCTAATCTTACTCCTGATTTCTCTTTGAATGCTTCGGTCAGCTTCCCTTTCTGGTTTGTTTACATCTGACGTTGCAAAAAGCTGCTGAATGAGATTTATAAATGTTTGGGGGAAAGGCTTTTCGCCGCGAAGTTGAGGTGCGTACCAGATTTCTTTACAGTGGACTCTGTCGAAGGCCTTTCCAAAGTCAATTGGATTGAGATAAAGAGTTGACCGCCATTGTAGGCTCTTTTAGATAACGTTTAGCGAATTGATGTGGATATGATGTGTTTCCCCTGAATCCAGCACTCAGTAGGTTCCACTCAACTTCTCTCTTCATTGTTCAGCCCTGCACTGGTCCATCTTCTGCGCAATCAACCTTCCTTCATCTATTAGCTTCCAGATGACCCCAGTGAGCCATTCATCTTCCCTCTTCTTCTCCTTGTTTAAGACGTCTATAAAGATTCACTTCCGAATGGCTTTCGAAGATTTACAATATTCTAACATGTAGCTCTCTTGAGTGAGGCTGTCTGGTGTTTTCAGTTTCTTCGCAGTCTTCCCAACTGATTACGAAACTTCTTTGCACTAGACAGTGATCTTCTCACTCCTATGTCCAGAAGGCTATCTCCACTTCCTTCAGATTCAAGTGAAGTTTACCTAATTTTCATAGTATCCATCTAGTGAAATCCTACGTCACCAGCGGATATCCTTGTGATTGTACACGGTACCTTCAATCATCAAACAGTTAAATATTTGCTAACAGTTCTCCGTTATCTTTCACTTCAAAGACTGCCTCTCAATTCATGATGAATTTTATTCTTGTATTTTCTTCTCCCAGTTTCTCATTTATAACACCCACTGGAGTTTTGGTGTTGTCTTCTGTCTGAGGCCTTCTACATTGCTCTTTGCATTTAGTTGTACATAGATGACCTCCTAATTCTTCTTCACTCTTTTAGGGCTGTTTGTAGGTAAGTGACACTGTGTAGTTGTAACTTTCCTTCCTTCTGAGATGAATCTTGTAGTCATGATCATGGAAAACATCATGATAGTCACTCAGTAGATTTGATTGTGGTTGCTCTCTGAGTGACTTGAGTAGATTGTTTACTCTCCAGATAACAATTTGGAGATTTCACTTCTATTCAATCTGCTGTCACAGATTTCTATGACTTCTGTGTTATACACTGTGATTTCTTCTGCAATCTGAGCATTCTTGCTGATGTGAAACACAGTGTGGACATTCCGTATCCCTTAGCCTACTTTGCTTTCATCGAAAAATTTGTATCGACTGATAGTCTTCCCGATGTCTTTCACCCATCGACGTCATCCATCCTGGAAATGAGGAGTCTTCCTGATTCAATCGGAGGATTAATTTATTTTTCCTATCTTTTGCATTCTTGGCAGAGGTTGGCTTGCCAATTAGGCGAGTTCTCTTCCTCCTGTGTGCAGAAATTCATTTGAGTTAATTTTAGTAATTCATGTATTATTTGGGTGGTCCTGAATGTAAATCTTGTTTTCTGACACTTCTGAATGAAAATCGTGAAAACTAAAGCTTTACGTCTACAAATATATGTATATGTATAATGAAGGCATAAGCTTCCATATATCACCATAAGGTTTGGATCAAAGATATTGTCGGCAGTGCAACACAAATCCTCATGTTAGTTATTTCCCAATTTAAGTAAAGCGTGTCAATGAACAGCACATATACAGATGGGTTTCAAAGTTCTTCTCGAGTGACAGTACCTTAGATTTTGTGTTTAGTGCGGTACTAGCTCCGAGGACAGGTGTGTGTCACTGCATGTTAATGAGTCATGTTTGTGAAACTCATACACACCGATTCTTTTCTGAATGCACCGATGGTATGTTGTAGGAGGATGCATGAGATGGATGAAAGTGAGATGTGCTTAAATCCCATGGTTGCTTATTGTGTTTACATAGGATAAATTTTCTCTTTTTAGAGTTAACTACTTAGGATCAGTAAAGTGGCACACAACTGATTCGAAATTCATCACTAACCTGTGTTATATCTGTAACTTTACTAAGTGATATACTTGTGGGTAGTGCTTACTTGATAATTTATGAAACTGTGTTCAAGAAAGTAAAGTCAAGAAAGTAAATTATCTGGACTCACCCAAATTGTACCTTTTCGGCTGCACACGTTTATTCGTAGGCTACGTTATCTCATCATTTCGATGTATTTGAATGTTTTCGTTAACTTTTTTTGATGTCATCTGACTTGTTTATAACTACTGTTAAATTAGCGATACCTATCGAAATCGTATTGATCACAGAGGTTTATCATACTGTGTTACTGATAATTTTCATGAGTAATGGTCAGATACTTAAAAGACAGGATGAAATATTACTAGAATACATTTCTCTTTTCGGCAATATGCAGTGTGTGGATAAAAACCATCCGAAGATATCAGGTTGTCTAACTCCTTAAATCATTGTTGAACTTTCTGAATATTCATACTGAAAAAATTTTAATTTCTTTATGAAAGTACTGAAGCCTAGAGTTCTGAAGTAAAATATTTTCTGAAAAATTTCATTTAAACGAAATAATAACAGTTTACATGGAAAAAGTATCAATTTTAAGGAAAGATTTACTCACG